AGCAGGGAAACTGAATTCCTGCTTCAAAGATGATTAATGAAGAAATGAAGAATTTTAACAAAAAACTAAAATCCACCTGGCCTGGTGGGGAAAGGATGTCTTGAAAAGAAGACAGTTTTAGACATTTTCATGTCTTTCTGAAGATTTGGACCAAAAGGAGACTCTTTATAGACATTTTCCTTTAATTTATGCTTCCCTGAGTCACATAAGATTTGACCAAGAAAAACATTGTTTATCTGAATTTGTCCTATTTCTCTCTATGAGAGTTTTGAGGATTGAACTGGATGAGCTCTGATATTTTTGTTTGTAATTTTTTTTCCCTTGTGAAAGCTTGAATCAAAAAGGAAAAAGAGGAACAAGTGATTGCCCCAATCGGCCACCGCCCGCCCAGAGCCAGCTGAGGATCGGTGACATGAGACCTTTGACTTTTTCTTCAGATCAAGAGCTTAGCTCACCTATAATGATTTTAATCAGTATGATCATTTTAAATTTATGTTTAGAATTAGTAGTTGTTGATTTATTTAGATTGAAAGCCGATTATTGATGATTTTAAGGTTTATATTTTATTTCATTTATTTTGGTGAGTTTGCACTTTCAAGTGGTAATGGGGAAGACACACATTTCACAGTGTTTGGTTACCCAATTCCCAGTGAGTGTGATTACCTAAGTCTTAGTGAGTGTGTGAGGTTGCATAACAGTTCACAGGATTGACAGAAGGCCCAGATTGAAGTGCTAAAATGATTTTTAGACAGATACATCAGAAAAGGGTTTATCTTGAGTGTTTGATTACACAGTCAGTATTAATAGCATGCCGACCCTCTCAGCAGTGTCTTGGAGAGGCAGTGCCTCCCTGATTGGGCTTGTTGCTCGGGTATTATGCCATACATAACCGGCTGGCTGCGAGAGGGAAGGATTTTTGGACAGTTTGATCATATAGTTTAACAATCAACAGTATTAATGGTATGCCAACCTTCTCAACAGTGTCTCAGACAGTTAACCCTTGTAGTCTGTTCAGGTAAATAATACCCATTTTCACTTTTCATTTAAAGAAAAAAAATACTTGTTATTTTTTTGGACTCAAAAAATAAGTCTTTGCCTCATTTTGTGTGAACAACATAAATCAGAACAAATTTTCAATGACCGCACACTGCCCCCCCCCCCTCTGCATTTACATTACACAGAGGGTGTTCGGGTATTATTTACCCGGGGACAATGAAATGGTGGTTGCAATCATTTGCTATTACATTCCACTGTCTCCACAGCTTAGCATTTGTATTGTGACCACAACAATCTTGAATAGTTCAACAATTTACATCTGTTGATGAGTTTAGCATAAAAGTATTTGATTGTATGACCCTCATGCTTGCAAAGAGGGACAATCAGAGGCAGCAAGGTGTGAAACGATGTCTCCAATTCCAACCTTTACATCTCTATGGTCTCCTTGAAAGCCAACACCCCCCTGGGGCTGACTTGGATTATCACCCAACTACACCTTCTGAGGTAAGTGTTGCTTTAGCAATATACTGAATAAGAGACACCTATTGTTTGAGAGAGAGAGAGAGACTAGTTGCTAAGTATAATTTCTTATCTTTTCATTATTCTAGGTTGCATCCAGCACCAGGCAACACAAGCGCTGTGGTGTGGACCCAAGGACAGGAAAACACCATATACCCGCATCAAGTGCAAGAATTACATATGCAACACACTCAAGAAGGCTCTGCCCCTCATGTGATGTATAGGTTTGTCTGTATTCAATGGGGGCTGTGTTGTGCAGACCAAAATGGTTACTGAGTGTGTTCAGCTTGTGCTTGTACAAACTGTCCTGAATGTTTGAAATGGCTGAGGTTCAAATAAAAATCAGCAGTTGTGAAAAAGCTTGCTTCATTTGTAAATTTGTTGTTTTTTTCCCCAGTCATTTAACCAAAAATTACAATAACATAGTTTTAACCCTTATTTAATGTAATGTAACAAAGGTAAAGGGCAAACGTAAACATCTGTTGACTATTAGAGTTGATTATTACATTGTTTTAGATTAGAATTCTTCGATTATGTTGAGTTATGTTAGGTTATTTCCTAGTTAGATAGATATTCAGAGATTTGTTGTCTAGAAATGTTAGTGGAGACAGATTGACTAGCTCAGGCTGTTAACTGTTCAGTAATGTACTTGCAGTGAAGACTGCAAGTAGGCCAAGGTTGCAGGCAAAGAGCTGTTAGTGTCAACTGTAATGCTAGTCTTAATATTTGTCTTAATGTGTAAGGTTATGTCAGATTGTTTTAGATACACACCACGAAAACAACAGCCACACACCTTGACTTTTCCTCATGTTTTGGCTAACGTTATGTTCAGCTGCAGGCTGGCATATCAGGTGACGTCACGGTTTGACGCCCTGCGTAGCATGGGCTAGCCCAAAATGATTAAATTATATAGGTTTCTGGGTCCGGTCTCTGTTCATCTTTCCAAGCTGCCTGCGCGCAGGTGGATGGTGGGAGAGATCCGGACGTGTAATGTAAATTTTACCTGTGATCCTCTGAATAAACCAGCACGGTTATTTTTTATAAAATCTAAAGCTGTCTACTTCGTCTTATTGTGAGTTCCTGGTTCAAAAGAGCCGGAAAAGGCTTCATAGAGAAAGAGAAGCTTATAGTTACAAAGCCAAAATCTGTTCGTGGGTGCAGGACACCCACAAACAGAACACAGGTAGTGTAAGCAAAACATGAACAGAACAGTTATAAAATGTAATCTAACTAAGGTAAAGGGCAAAAGTAAACATCTGTTGATTATTAGAGTTGGTTATTGTATTGTTTTACATTAGAATGCTGATCTAGGAATTTCTTGTGAGATAGGTCAAATTTTGATATTTTTGCTTCAAACTCCATACACAGTGCCTACAACGCTTGGATGAAAATTGCACAAAAACATCCAAATAAGATTTACCACACACCAAAGTATGATCGGATTCTAGCTGACACTCTGGTGATGTGGTATGGTGTCAGCAGATCCTGAAGAAAACCACCATTAGTGAAATATTGCTTTTCATTTAAACTAATAATGATATCAATGGATTTTCAAATGGGGGCAGGTTTTCGTTCTCAAGGAATCATATTATGAGTGAGAAACCATCATTGGAACATTGCTTTTAGGTGCAGTGGCATTATGGGGACAGTGATCTGCCTTGGCGGAGGATTGAGTTCTCTGAATGCTATCTGCTTTGTGAATAGGGCCTGGTGTTACGCTTGTTTTCCTTGATCACAGTTAAACAAACAGTCAGTCAGTGCCCGTGCTGGTGGGCCTGAAGTTGGTCAGCTGCCATCATCAATCATAACTCTAAGTCAACATTCAGGTCTCTAATGATGGCTGAATTAACATTTAGACTTTCCATGTGATATTAAAATATATATAAAAATGTTCCCAAATGCTGACAATACATTTCAATTATAGGATGATTTCTGGTCTTTGCATGTTGTGAATCAGTGAATTACTATTATAATCTCTTATGAGTGTACTCACAGCAGAGCTCTTTGGTTCTCCAGTTCTGGGGCTTGCCACCAGCATGGACGCACTGTCTGGAGAACTCAGACACAGTGTTGCACAAGCAGAAAGTGTCTGTGTGTTCCTCTAGGCCACTGCCACAGTTGCAGAGATCTGCAACACAGGCAGAAGTGAAGGAGGCGACATCCAGCAGGCTGTGACAGCTTTTGAAGGATGGCCCTGTAAGGATCTGCTCACATAGCGGTCTCTACAGGACAGACAGACAGGAATGGAAACAGGAAAGAGAGCATGTGATTTGGTAGGCAAGACCAAGAAGGTGAAACATTAAATTTTACTACAATTATTATGTCAAAGTTTTAACAAAGGCCACACAGATTATTCAGAGATAATTCTTGCCAACTTGTGGACTTACTGGAAACTAATGATACAGTAAATATACTGTAGAATGGTTTAACTGAAGTTTAAGGTGAAAATGTTTAGTAAAGACAGATTTATACAGGTCAGATAATTTATACAAATATTAACTCATGTTTTACATAGGTACACAACACCCCTGGTGAACATCACTACAGTACTAAGTACCGTAACTATAAATCCTGTCTTTGCAATCCAGTTTCATTTTTTAATAGCCAAGCCCAAGAAGAATGGTCCATTAATTTGAAAATCAGAAATGTCTGACTAATTCAGCTAGAATGAAAGGTCCAAATATACAAATCAACTGCAACAAATGTCAATACACCCTTCATCTGTGTACATTTGTGACATTATTATTGTATAAGTGTGCCTTCATTTTTTTAGTGACAGATTCAACCCTGAATGATATCACTCTGGGCAATGAATGTACACTTAATTTGATTCCCTTTAAAAACAGGGTTGTTGATTCTTTTCAGAAGCATTTTTGTTACATTTCTTGAAGTTCTCTTTTCATCCCAATGGCAGTGAACACAGTAAATGCACTAACAACATAAAGAAACAAATCTATCATTTGTGGCAGCAGCAGGGCTGAAAAAAGCCCGATCAATAATTTTACTCGGCACGAGCAAAGGCATTGAATGGTCTACCTGCCTGTCAACCTACTTCCTACTTTCACACATCCTTGCACAAGCCTAGAGTCTCCCACAAGGCATTGCGGTTGCAGGCAGACATGTTACCACTCAGTTTTACATCTAAAGCTAGCGAGCTATGGCAGTGATGGTACTCACAGCAGCTTTCATTCACAAATGCAGACCATTGTTACAGACCAGACCTTCCCTTTTAAGACATATAGCCTTATAGGTATTGCTACTGATGTGACCTGTGTGCGCAGTGTGAGAGCGAGAAGACCGCCACACAGAACAGATTCCTTTTACATGCAGCCAGACAGTAGTCAGCTCTAAGTGTACAGATAGGATTATATTGCAATTAACTGGGCATCAAAGGCCACATGCAGTGTTCATGTTACCAAGGTGAAAAAAAGCTTGTGTTTTGAACATTTTAGCCGGCCTCCCTCTTCACTTCTCCCCGCCGGAAAAGCCTGGACTTCTAAGTAGAGTTGTTTTTGGTGGCCTGTTTTAATTTTAGTTTTAGTCTAGTCTTTGTGTGAAGCTGTCGTTTTAGTTTTTATTAGTTTTAGTCACATTCATACTCTTTTTAGTCTACTTTTAGTTGACAAAAACTGATGACATTTTAGTCTTATTTTAGTCAAAATTATCCATGACTATTTTAATCTACTTTTGTCGACAAAAATTGCTGACATTTTAGTCTAGTTTTAGTCAATGAAAATTGTATTTTAGTCTCTTTTTAGTAATGCAATTCTATTTAACCCAGTCAATATAGTATAAGTACCTAGTAGTATAGACAAAACCAAAATTTTCTTTCAGCCAAACCCATTTCAAACAAGGTTATCTTATTAATTATTGTTACCTTATAGACTCAAGAATACATCCAGTACACATTTTGTGTGATTTTGTGGCCACATTTCTCCCCATCTTTTTCCACAACACATTGTTTTCTTTTCCACTTCTATGTAATGAAAGTTTTTCCAAATGTCGTTTCTTCTTTTTCTCCCAGTGACGAACCCCGGCTGGCCGGCCATCGGTCCCCTTCTCTGTGTCAGTCTTAACTTTGTTTGTTGTCGTCTTCTAAATAATGCCGCGAGTGGGGCTTAAGGAAGTGACGTCACTTGCGTCTGCGCAGTGCGACCTGATGCGGCCCCTCAAGTGAGATACAGAAAATAGAAATACTGCAAAATAATAATAACGCGGCTGAACGAGACGAAATAACGTTATAACATTTCGTTTCGGTCAACGAAAACGAAGAGACATTTTGGATTGTTTTTATTTTGTGAACCACATTTAGTCTCGTTTTTTTGTCAACGATATTGCATTATACTTTTAGTTAGAGTCATCGTCACATGACCAGCATTTTCGTTGCGTCTCGTCTCGTTTTTGTCACGCGACAAAGTTTCGTTGACGACCATATTTAGTCATAATTTTTGTTGACGAAAGCAACACTACTTCTAAGGCCAGTTACTGGTTATGAGGCAGGACTAAAGCAGTTTAGCCATGAACCAGAGGCCCCCGACTATGGTTTGGGGCCGCAAATCTGGGCGAGTAACACTGTATTCGAGAAAGTTCAAACTAAAAAGAAGTTGGATGCTGCAAGAAGTAAAACCAGAATTAACATTGGCGTGGCTTCTGAATGACAGCGACAGCTGAGAGAACAAAGGGGGCTGAAAAGTGATGGCATTGCAGCCATATTTCTGCTGGACAGGTAATTATCACTTTTGTTTTGTTTGAGGGCATTTCTTATCTTTCTGAAATCTGTAAGTAGTAGTCAGGCAGTGTGTGTTGCAATCTGTATTGTCTTTTGAAGGGCTGGCTAAGGAGAGAAGTCAGAAGAAAAAGGTGGGATTTCTTCTTTTGGCTACTTTCAAAATCCAGCTCTCACTTGCTGGTTTTTCCAGGATCACCAGCCCTACTGTAAATCTTTGTGGATTATGGGCCATAGTACCCATACCCTCTTCTGGCCAGCTGCCACTGGTAGGACTGATCATTTGGTTTCTGTGCTGAGTGTCACTTTTTGTTTTTGCCCCATTGGAGTGGATTATACTGTACAGGGACACATGACAAAATTCATAATATATGTAAGCTTTCGTTATTTGTTTCCTTCAGTAGGAAAAAAATGTTGCTAGGGCATAGGTGCTGAAACCGGTAGAAGCATATAATATATATTATTAACCAAGAGCAGCGAGGAAGACACCATGATAAGGTGTTGGCTATGGTATAATGTGATATATTGATGATTATATTTTTCAATTTTAAGCTCCATATAGCTGGGTGAAAGCTCACCATGTCATTGCAGCGTTCTGTTGATTCCAGTGTGTAGGCAGAGCAGCTTTCAGTCGGTCCATCCATTTTCCAGAAGTTAGAAAAATCCACAGGGGATAGTTTGATGCCTATTTTGATAATATCAAAACAGCATAGTTCAGTTCTGTGGCCATCCCTACACTTATTTATTTGATTATGCAGGTCAAAGTGTACCATGACTGTAGAACTCATTGTAGAGCTGGACCCCGTTGAAGTCCCCACAGAGACCACAGGTTTGGTTCTTGTACTTCACATCTAGCTCCACCTGAGAGAACACAACCAAAAAGATGCATATATATACTATACATATATAATGGCCATAACAGGCTTTGCTGTGCAGCTAGAATCCCACCAGAAAAGAGTCCTCCTCATTCCAGATAGCAAACAGTCCCGGGTTTGCTTTGATTTTGATGTAGGTGGGGGATTTCTCAATGAACACGCCTGCTTGACTGAATGGTAAGATGACTCTGCAAAAAGAAAAACTGAAGTCACATATTTTGGTCATTATGTTTTTTCTAACTTTGGTTCCTAGAGCCAAAGGAAGATTGTGAATGGAAAAGTCAGTTGCATCTGGCCATGTTGGAAGGTATAAATGCAGACACTGGCAGTGGGGACATTTTTCTGACGTCTTCAGCTTCTGACTATGTTGTTCTAAAGACAATCATAAAACATCAAAATCAAAGATTAAAACATTTGCAACAAACAGTTTTCCCTTTAAACATTTCTTTTCTAACAATAATTGACTTAACTAACCTCAGTGCTCAGTAGTGTTTGTAGAGACACTGTAAATAGACTTCCAGTGTAATATATTAAAGATGTCATGGTTAACTCACTTCCTGTTCCCAGCTTTTCATTGGGAGGGTGAGATATTATTAAATAGTGCCCAAGTGCGCCATCCGGTCTGAAGCAGTAGATTATGCTGGCAGAATAGAAAGTGTTTAATGTTTTCAGAGTAAACTTACGATTTGCCATCAACAACCACTGAGCCCTTGGACAGCTCCACAGCGGAACCATCCAGCTTCATAATAATATTTTTGATGGTGGGATGGCCACTAGTCTCCTGTCTTCTTATCTGGATGTTGAAGTCCTTATGACTGCTCCTGCATGAGGAGGTCAGGACATAGTTGCAGGTGGAGTGCAACTGGAAAACATCCCCATCAAAGGTTTTGAAGTGGAAGTTGCCCCATGTACTGCAAACCTGGCTATTGTGGATGAGACTTGCACCTGCAAAGACAACTCAGGGTGGGATACTACAAAGGCAAATATATTTTACATAGGTACTTCATCCATACATAAATAAATACTCATACATTTTATACGACTAGTAAGAAGGAAAAAGGAAGGATAATAGGAAACAGTTTACAGTTTAAACTCACCTGATATTTTTTCAGGAATCGGGGATGTGTAGGACAATGTGTTCATAGCCGCTGTTGAAAGAAATAAGAATTAATTGTCAAGAAATTAATAATCACATTTCATACGATATTAATACAAAATAAAGCTGAGCTTTGCTGTAACACCCAAGTAAACATTTGAACTGCTATTAGTCCTATTTATCATATTTGTAAGGCTGCCTAATGGAGTATCATGCATTGTATGTACCGCTGTGCCAAGCAGCTATGATGGCAGACAGAGTCAGCCATAGCAGCCACTTGTTGGCCATAGTCATTTGTTTCTCCACAAGAGCACTGAGGAAGATGGGAGAAGGCCCAGTTCTTTATATCTGAGGGCAAGGTCTTACTGTGGCATGGGAGGGAGTGGCATTCCCATAGCTTCACATGGTGATTCATAGTAACTGCTAGTCCTGCCCTACAGCATGCCCCTGTGGTCCCTGGTTCACTCCCCTACACATGTCTGATATGAAGAACAAAGCTACAGAGCACAACAACAAATCATATCTGTGATGCAGACAAACTAGCACCACTATCTGTCTAATGTTGGATCCATGCCCACAGTGATGGCCAAAGCAGCATGCAGCTGGTCTATTCTGAATCATGCAGATGCATAAGTTTCTGTGTCCATAAAACATACAGAAAGGAAGTTGACATATGTCCCTCAAATTTTATACTCTACTTAACAAAACAAGATTTAAGCACTTCCCCTGAGATGGTGGAAAACAGTGAAGAGCGACTGACAGTTTGGATGTACCTAAATATTGTGATCTCCTCCTATCCAAGCTGTGGCAGAGGTTTGCAAAGAAATTCAGTGACTCTGAAAAACTTGAACCATATTCAGGAGAGGTGGGGGACCTGAGTTACATAACTTGACTCGACGCAGACTTACAGTAAGTCACAAATTTGAGGACTTGATACTTGCTTGAATAACATTAATAAAATGCAACTTGACTTTGACTTGGTGTTCATGACTTGAGACTTAACTTGAAACTAAATACTTTGATATTTTTTATTAAATTTTTGAGAAGTTGTGTATTGTTATTGAAACACAATTGGGCAATTTTTAGTGCAATGTGTGCAAATCTGGCAACCAACCAGATCACAGCAAACAAGCAGAGAGCAATTCAGGTTGCAGGATACAGCTGTTATGATGGGGCCTAGGCCAAAAAAAACATTTAATTCAAAGAGTATTTTGTCAGTGACAGTATTAGAGGACAGCAAAGTCTGCAGCTCAAAAATAAGCAATGCAGCCACCACAACATCCAACTTCATTCGTCACTACAAAATTCACAATGAAAGGTAAGTATGTGAATGTCTTTTCAGCTGTTTTTGTCAGTTTTCTGCAACTCATCTGAGATTACTTTTACCAGAGATGAGCTCTTGAACATCCAGCTGCTCACTCTGAACACTTTTTCTCCAATTTTTACAGATGAAAAAAGTTTGGACATTTTAGTAGGTGGAGCATTGACCATCTTTGGGACCTGAAGAAGACACAGGCAGGGAAGGTGCATGGGTGTCCTGTTGACGTTACACCAGTCGGGTTACCAAATGCCACTCCTGGCTATCCATCTAGACAAAATGGATGAACTGCTTCTTGTCAATTGGACTAATTCTGACTTCTCACATTCTCTGTGCTTTGTCGAGACATGGCTCAGTGACTTGATCCCTAACAGTGCCGTTTAGCTGCCAGGGTTCCAGATTCAGAGCAAATTGCATAACAAAGTTATCCCGGAAATTGAGAGTAGGAATCTGCTTCTACATAAATGAATTTTGGTGTAAAGATGTCACAGTGGTAGGAAAAACATGCAACACAGACTTGGAGATTATTCATTAACTGATAACCATTCTACTTTTCCTCATTTATCCTGGCCAGGGTTTACATTCCTCCTCAAATCACTAAAATTAATGTTGAGTCAATGTGTCACTTAAAAAAAAAAAAAAGAAAGTCAGACTCCATAGTTTTCTATGGACCCCTGCCCAATCTGACCAGTTTATTTGCATGTCGTCATTCAACTGCTTTCTAGATGGTGTTCAGAAAACGATGTAGGCTTCATAGACAATTGAAAACATTTTGGGGAAAACCTGGTCTGATTAGCAGAGATGGCATCCATCCCACTTTGGATGGTGCAGCTCTCATATCTAGAAAGCTGGATGAGTTTATTTTACAACCTACATTATGACAACCCAGAGTTGAGACCAGGAGGCAGAATTGCAGTCTCACAGTGAAAACCCATTTGAAGGGGAAAAACTGCGTAACATTGCCTCCACCACTTCCCACCTGTCTCTGTGGGTGTGTCAACACAGAATTGACAGTGATGTGAAAATGTTACAAAGTGTGTACTGTATATGTTAGCCTGTTAACATGTTTTTGTTAGCTCTGTGTAGTTAAATCATCATCTTATCTGACAATTTCTACAACATTGTGCATTCATTCGACTGCATTCATCTTCTCTTTGTCAATGGAATCTAGAAGAGAGGGGTCATACAATATAAGAGAGGAATTCCAGAGAACTAGTATTCTCATCCATTGTCTCATTTACCCATCTCATAACAAGATACTTCGTCAGTCTGTCACATCCAGGAAAATTTCACCTTAATTTGTATAAATCAAAACATTTTTATCTTTTGCCCCCTTGTGGTCACTTTGTGAGCCCTTTTGGCATTGCCTGGAATCCCACAATGCTTTGTGAAATAATTTGCTCATATTACATAAAAAATGAATGGGGGCAAATTTCATGTCGCGCCAGGTCATCATCGAGGAGTCACTAGACGACCAGAGAATGATCAAGAAGAACATTCATTTGACACCACAGGCCACGTTTGAACAGACACATGGGTTACTCCTTCCATCATTATGACTGCCTGTTGTCAGGCGATTGAAGTTTCATACTTGCAGTAAGTCACATGATGTCAGCTGAACTGACTCTGTTCAACAAATGAAAAGACCAGGAGATGCTGTTGAAAGCTAAAACATGTACAGAAGTAAGTAGACCTATGAGTTTTGTTTATTTTGTAACAGAATTTAAAAAGTTTTCTTTCACTAATTCAATAGAGTTGACATAGTGCTTTTATTTGTCCATGTTTTGAGAAAAACAGTTGCTTTGCCATTCCTCAGAGCAGAAAACAGTATTGCCCAAAGCTGCTGTTTTCTAAAGGCAGAAAGAAAAAAGAGAATTGAAGTCATTTTCGCTCTCTCTCTCTCTCTCTTTTTTGAAGATCTACACGGACTGAGCATTATCTGCGGACTTTGATCATCTTTCAGTGAATCTGCTTTCTGCCAAAGAAATAGTCCTTATATAAACATCATTAATCTGCGAACAATCTTGAGAATCAAAAAAAGGACACTGTTCATTTAAATGACATTTTTCAGTGCTGTGAGTGCCACAAAATAATAAACAGTAATTTGTCTGAACATCAGGCCTGAGGTGAAGGAAACATTGAGGGTTGGAAGTGACCAGTGTTTAAAACAACTCCAACTGCAACTCAAAAACCAAACACACGTTTTATATTTTTGAGTAGCTGTATTCACTTAATTCTATTCGTGGCAGTGACCAGTGTCTTTTCAGGCTCCCAACCTCAGGATACACCTTTGATGTTATTCAAGGCTCAAGTAAAACTCACAACTACTGAATCCCATTTAGACATATGGGAATAATCTGATGAAGACTGATGACAATTATGGAGTGATATAATACAGTATAAGGCTTTAGATAAATAAAGACACTAGGGTGTTTTTGTTTGCTTTGCTTGAGTCATGTTTTGACTCAAGCGATAAAGCATAAAAGCTGCTCAAGGTGTGTTCAAATCTTTGATTAACACATCTTTGGTTTGTTTGTTTTTTTTATCACTAGCAGTCATTTTTAACAATAGCAAGACTCAACTGTGAATCAATGTGAAAGGAAAGCTGAGGTGACTTAAATTCACTTAAGTTCATTACAGATCCATTGGTATTGTTTCACTCTCCACCCAAATGAGATTATGTCGCTGGTCAGAATCATACACAAGGAATTTGTTTTGGTAATGTGGTGTTAAAACATAGTTACTACACAAATGCACTTCAAAATAATATAAAAATAAAAAAATAAAGATGTTTTTACAATAAATATGTGCTATATATATATATATATATGTTCGATTACAAAAGTGCTGCACAGCGTATGACATCATCATGACACCATTCCATACTATATCTGTTACTGCTGTGGGGATCCGTAAAACAGCAAGGACCCTGAACAAGAGACTGCTACAGGGTCCTGGAGTCATGCCAGTCCTGGACAGATGGCAGACAGCAGCCAATCATTCTCTCAGCTCAGCTAATGACTGTCAGGGAGGTGATAGTACAGCTCCTGTGGAGGTGTAGGTGTGAACCCGCCAGTAAGCTGGAATAGCACAACCGGTTTTAATAATCTCAGGAACAGAGTCAGATATACACAGTACCGGTCTGAAGGGCTTAGGCAGAGAGCAGTACTTAGTTTGGTCCATGGTCGGTATCTCCAGCAGGCAAGGTGTCGTTACCAAGAAGGCAGTCCAATAAGGGTGAGGTAGAATCTTGGGTTGATCAGGCAGAACGAACACTGGAGAGTCTAGTCAAGGCATAGAACAATCTGGCAGCTCCCCACAGAGTGAGGAGCTGCTATATACTGTGAGGAACAGGTGTGATCGATTAAGTAGCAGGTGAAACTAATTTGAATGATGACATGAAGTTCCCGGAATGCAGGGTGAGCTGGGGATAGGAAGCAGTAAAGAATAAGAGGCATGATGTTTAGCTCCCACTTGATGTCCTGGGTGATGATGTTGTCCAGGAAGCAGAAGGACACCACAGTACTGACAAGAAGCCACAGAGGGAGATGGGGGCGAATAGGGTTGAGTTCTTCCTAAAATCCACAAGCAATCCCTCTGGTTTAGGGCAGTGAGCTCCAAGTTGTTTTGGCCACACCAAGTCACCAGATGGACAATATCACACTTGTAGGCAGACTCACCACATCTGGAGATGAGCCAATCAGGGTGGCGTCATCTGCAACCATAACATACTAATGACTGGAGGTGCGGCTATAAGGGAGAAGGGCAGAGCAAGAAGAATATAGCCCTGTGGGGAACCAGTGCTGATGGTTAGAGGAGAGATGCTTCTCCAGCGTCACATGCTGCTTCTTGTCAGGAAGTCTGTAATCCACCTGCAGGTGAACTCAGCTGGGGGAGCTTATCTTGCGGTGAGGCCAGGGTGAAGGTGTTGAATGTGGAGATAAATTCCACAAAGAGGATCCTGGCATATTTTCCTGGGGAATTCAGGTGATAGATGATAAAGTGGAAGGCCACCTTTATTGAGTATTCTACAAACCTGTTGGCTCTGTAGGCAAACTGCAAGGGGTCCAGGAGTTGGTCTTTGAGGTGGAGTGGGCAAAGTAAGTCTGATGTATGCTGCACAATCGTGGGTGGCATCTAAACAGTCAGCAGTTGTTTTCAGTCACGCCATGTAAATCCTGCTGTTTCACCTGCACCACCCAGCCAAGTGTCAAAAAATCAGTTCAGTTTTTAATCAGAAAACTAAGACAGGTCCTATATTTTAGATTATGTATTTAAATACATTTTAATGGAACCTCTAATCCACACTGAATGCATTTTTGGAAGTGTTTTATGTACATCTCAGGCCTGTCTCATGCTATAAATAAAATTCAAGTCATTTTTGTGGTAGGTTTGTTTTTACTGAGTTAATGATATAAAAAGGGGTAAATTTTGGATGATTTAACAGATTTGATTAGCGGTCATTCCACTTCTTGTCGCTACTGCACAGAATCTGGTTGTAAAATGCATCAGAAAAACAAGATGACTGCCACCCCCCCCAAAACATATGTAGCTGTCTGTGTTAAGGTTGGTCTGTCCATTCTGAATGTAAGGAATAAAACAATACTTTTGATGCTGTTGTCAAACAGTCCCAGTGATGTTTATTTCTTACAAGTTCCTTACAAGATGGTGAGAAATTTCACATTACTGAGCAGTTTCATTATTTCTGTGGTGTACTTTTATAATGGAATAAATATACTTCATATAGGCTACATTTTAAGTTCAGGGGTTGTTGTGTTCATTATCGTAGTTTACAAATGCAGATGCTGTAGCAAACTATGATGTTTGTAAATTTGGGTCCCAGAGAGAGAGACCAAATTTCTCTTTTGGCTCTCAAGCTGAAAAGGTTCTGGGAGCTCCTGACCTATGTAATGAGGTCCAATGCATTCTCATTCCCAGGGAGTCAAATACTGACCTTTTGTCAAGGACTGTTTTCGTTACACAACAGCATTAAGCACAGCATTAACACACCAGTGGGTTAATGTGCTTAGGTTTATGAAAATATTATGGTTCGGGTTAAAACACTTGTTGATTAAAATCACTTCATTACACACCAAACTCTGCTTTCCTGTGGGAAAGTTTGTTGTTTGTTTGACCCACATTCGCCCCAGACACCTCCTGGCGTGCACTTTCTCCCTTCATATAGTTCAACCTCTTGCTCCGAACATCAAATATTGACCCAAGTGGATGCTCAATTGAAAACGTTAAAGGTAGTTGACATATCTTCAGGATTTTACTCCCTGGGAATGAGGATGGGCTGATACTTCCTGAAATGATTTTGGGTGGGTGGGTGATTTAGAGTGGGATGTTTGAAGGGTGAGGAAGGAGAGTTTACCCATTATTTGTGATTTGTGTAGGCTTTTTTCCAGTTCTCTTAACCAGGAACTCAGAGAGACGAGGCAGTCCACTTGGATACAAAAAATCGTGCTGGTTTATTCAAAGGATCACAGGTAAAATTAACATTACACGTCCAGGTATCTTCCACCTCCAATACTGCACGCAGGCAGACGAAGAATGAAAGACCCTGAACCACAACAGGCCTATACATTTATCTCTTCGGTTGTGCTAACCCCATTCTACCCAGGAATGTCAAACCGTGGCGTCACCTGATATGCCAGCTTTACAGCTGACCGTAGCAGTAGTCAAAACATGGAGAAAATCAATGTGTGTGAGTGTTGATTAAGTGGTGTGTATCTAAGAACATTCTGACATGACATCTAGTGACATGTCATGACATTAAACATAAGAAAATATTATGATTACAATTACAGTTAAACATATCATAATAATAACAATAATCATCCTGCCTGCTGACAATCAAACTTTTCTATCTAGTTATCCTTACCCATGTACACCCTGCTAAAATCTCATGACAATGACTAAGCGTTTAAACAGTCTAACTAGACATCCTGTCTCCACTAAACATTTCTAATACAACAAGTATCTAACCAATTTCTATCTGACTAAAAAAATACCTAACATTTGAAAGTGCATCTTTTTTTGTTTTGAAAATGAACTTTTCTAATGTCATGTAAGCACATAATTTTTCACACTCGGGAACCACAGACTTCATGGTTTTGGTATTCTTTTGCCAAGTACAGTACACAGTCAAGTTCATAAACCCACCTGGCCTGAATGTTTCGGTCAGAAATGGGGTTTGCTTGTGGAGTCTGTCAAACCAAAACTACTTACAAATGGGATGTTGATCCTGCTGACTAATTGCAAACAGAACTACACAAACAGACTGTATGTATCTGCCACAGACATTACAGTACCAGTTTTTTATCGGGGGTTGTTTATTTGTTTTGTTTTGTTTTTATATGAAAAATTGTAATTATCATGATTTATAAATTAGGTTGGTTGGAAACTCTAAATTGGCCATAGGAGTATGTGTGGTTGTCTCTAAGTGTCAGCCTTGTGATAGACTGGTGAACTGTCCTGGGTGGACCTCACCTCTCACCCAGTGTCGGCTGGGATTGGCTCCAGCTCCCCTGCAACCCTCTTCAGGGATAAACAGTAGAAATTATGGATGGATGGATGATGGGCTGCTTTGACTGCACAGACTGGAGTGTATTTGTGACTGCAGCTACAGACCTGGATGAACTCTCTGGCACTATGACATCATACATCAGCTTTTGTGAGGATGTATGTGTGCCCAAAAAGTCCTTCTGCACATACAACAACACCAAGTTCTGGTTCACAGTAAGACTCAAGCAGCTTCATCGTACCAAAGAGGAGGCCTACAAAAGTGAGGACAGTATTCTGTACAGCCAGGCCAGGAACACACTGACAATGGAGCAAAGAGGAGCTACTCTCAAAGGATGAAGGACACAGAAAACCACCCCCCCCCCCAGCTAGGCCCACCCACCACGACTTCCTTCCCTCCAGCCCCCCACCTCTAACGATCTGTTTTTTAAAGACTTCTTTAAAAAACAAAGGATCAGAAAGGCACCAGGCCCAGATGGTGTGACCCCCTCCTGCCTGAAAGTGTGCACTGATCAGCTGGCCCCCATCTTCACACTCATCTTCAACAGGTCACTGGAGCTGTGTGAAGTCCCCTCCTGCTTCAAACGCTCCACCATCATTCCAGTCTCCAAGAAAACCTCCATCAGTGGACTGAACAACTACAAACCTGTCGCCTTGACATCTGTAGTTATGAAGTCCTTGGAGAGACTGGTGCTGGCCCACCTGAAGGACATTGTAAACCCCCTGCTAGAACCCTTGCAGTTCACCTACCGGGCAAACAGGTCAGTGGACGATGCAGTGAACATGGCACTGCATTACATCCTGCAACACCTCGACTCCCCAGGGACTTACCCTCTTTGTGGACTTCAGCTTGGCATTCAACACCATCATCCCAGATATCCTCCACTCCAAACTGACCCAGCTCGCTGTGCCTGCCCCCACCTGTCAGTGGATTACTAGCTTTCTGACAGACAGGAAGCAGCAGGTGAGGCTTGGGAAAACCACATCCAGCACCGAGACAAACACAGGCACCCCCCAGGGATGTGTGCTCTCCCCTCTGCTGTTTTCACTCTACAGCAACGACTGCATCTCAAAGGACCCCTTTGTCAAGCTCCTAAAGTTTGCTGATGATACAACTGTCATTGGTCTCATCTGAGATGGTGACGAGCCAACCTACAGACGGGAGGTTGAGCAGCTGGTCCTGTGGTGTAGCCGCAACAACCTGGAGCTGAACACGCTTAAAACTGTGGAGATGACAGTGGACTTGAGGAAACTTAAGAAAGTTCCATTGCTGATAAATCAATTGGCAAAATGTTACTATGTCTGACTGTATAGGCAGTGGCCCAACAGGAGAATTCATGCATTTAGACAAGCCCTATTGAGGGAGGGCCCAGTTGTTTTGCTAATAACTTATATGGTTTTCAACAAATGAAAGAAAATTTGTTGCCACTTGCACTTCTTGCACATTTTGTGTGTACTGGTAACTTTGTTGACAGTATTTTTTCTGGCAAGGAGAGCGAGCAGCTACAGAATGTGTGGGGTCTGACTTGCATGACATATTTGAAGTTATCATCCAATAGTATGCTTGGAAAAGTGCAGGTGGCCAGACAGGACACATGATTTTAAAATCACATATTCCATGAAATAAAAACAACTAGAGTAGAAAAAACTAGTTAATATTCTCCATACTTTGTTATTCAGCTTGATAAAACAAGGTTTTATTATGCTACGAGAGCACAGAGCAACAGTACTGGATTTTTTTTTCTGCCTACTGATCAGCAAAGGAGAAAGCTGTACACTGTCAGACCCAGCTGATGTTCAGAAAAAGTTAAACATGATATTAGGTAGTAGAGGGCCATTGAAAAAAGCCAAGAAAACATCATCTCCAAATGTTCAGTGGTAGAGTTGGTTCTGACTTGTGTGTAATATAAAAAAATTGCACAATACTGAGATTCTCTGAGTCAACCCAAGATGTTACAACATCAGGTTAAAGTGTGTTTGGATAGCATTCACCTCCTTTAACCAACAGTGATAAGTGGGCTGAGACTTTGGTGGTTTGAGCCCAATCACAATAAAACAGCACCTGTTGTTTGACCTGGATTATTTTGGAGAAAAGTGAATGTAATTTTTAATCAAAGCAAGGTTGCACAGCAAATATTTGATAAGCTAACATGCCCAAATTGTGTACATATTAAAAAAAATTGTGGACACTGCCCTTTATATCATCCATACTTATCATTTATTATTAAAATGTTAAGGAATATGACTAGTCTGTTGGTGTAATATTGGACAATCCTAGAACTGTTTTGAGTTGCCACACATAGGCTACAGTTTCATATTGCTTTATGAACTGATTACATATCTGCTATGACGTACAGTATCACTTTTTCACATATTCTAGTAATAGTAATAAGGTTGCCATAACCAAAGTGAAAAAATACAGGAAAATCCTCGATGAAGGATTGTAATGAAGCCATGGGTTCTCCTGGAACCATCTCTCCTGAAAATGCAAGGTCTTTGATAATAACTGATGTGGTATCTCCATAAAATTAGGTTTATATGGGTGTTTTCCAGTTTCCCCTGTTGTTAATTCATCATTTTCACTGCTTTCATTACCTGTGTCTCCACTCCTCTGTTACTTGAAATACAAAGTATATCATTTTAATAACTTTCAAAAAGAATTGGGAAATTGGTCATTTTTAGAAATATGTGTTGTTATGGGGTGGAGCCCAATCATCAGTATTTTGTGTCTGAATTAACTATGATTATGATTAGTTACTCAGTATCTACTAATATTGCTGGCTTTTAACTATATTGTCTGTGTTTAAGGACTCTGCCTCAAATATTGATGAACTCACTGACACTGTATGCGGTTTTTGTGGGGATATTTTCATTCCTAAAAGCATGTTCAAGTACCAAAATAAGCCACGGGTTGCCAAATCCCTTAAAATGTGCTGGATAGAAAACAAAGGGCCTTCTTGAATGGTTATGATGACACAAAAAAAGAGAGGCAAGGAGGGAGGGTAGAGTGGAAATAAAGA